CTTAAAGCTTTATATTAAAACTAAAGTCTTGTTTTTTAATATCTCTTTCTTTTTATAATATTTACTTATTTAGCTCTTTATTTTCTATTTAAAACTCTATAGTCTTTATTACTTCTCTCTTAGTTACTACTTACATACGTTAGTACTATTATAGTATTACTATTAGTATCTACTCTAGGTATTATAAAGTACTCTTATAAGTATATAGTTATTATTATATTTTTTTAAGCTTTTTATTTCTTTTATTTTATTTTTTATTTAATGATTTAAACTAATTAGTTGTAACGAATACTCAAACTGGCTAACTAAACTTGGCTGGGTGTTCGATGGTTGGTATGCTATGATAAGAAGAAAACTATCGGGTTGTTCACTTGGAAGTGAACTCGTTACTTGTATCAAAGATGTCAAACTAATATGATAAGATTGATAACTAAGTTGATAACTAAGTTGAGCACGAAGCTCCTATCTAATGGCAGACGTGCCAGTCTTATATAGAACCTTCGTTCTCCCTAGGCTGTCAACTCCCCTGTCGAGCTGGCGGTCCAGATAGCCAGATCGCTAGGCGACCTGGCGATCCAGTCTCAGTCACGTGATTACATACAAGAGAAATCCCTGGATCGCTTAGCTACCCCAAACGATCCCTATTTGCTATAAGAAACCTGGATGTGCCTGTCGAGGGTTGCGCCTCTTATTATGACAAGCTTGTATCACGTGAGCACGTGATTCGTGACATTGGTCTTTTTAAGGTTAGTTATAATATACTTTATCTTTTTAAAAAACCTATAACTTAATAGTTTATTATTTTAATTATAGTAGCTATATATATTTAAATAAAGTTTAAAAAAATATTCTTAAAGTAGTTAATCTTTATATTATTTTCCTAGCTTTCTTTACTAGCTTTCTTTACTAGCGCTTAGTAGGAGTTTATTAAAGTCGAGCTGTTATTTATACTAAGGTTAACCTAAGGAATATTTTAGGTTAGTAAGCTTTTCTAAAGCTTTAGCTTATATATTATTATTTATAAAAGTTTTATTAAGTTATATAAAGAAAGCTATAAAATCTTTACTATATTTAGTATCTTTTTTTTCTTAGAAGTATCTTATTTAAGCTTACTTATATAGTAGAAGGGTATTATAAATAGTATTCTAATAATAATTTATAGAAAGTACTAGCTTTACTATAAACTATACTATATATAAGCTTTTAAGTCTTAGAAGGTAATACTAGAAGATATTTATATACTTATTTTAAGTTAGTAGTTTCTAGTCTCTAGTGTAACGAATACTCAAAATGGCTAACTAAACTTGGCTGGGTGTTCGCTGGTTGGTATGCTATGATAAGAAGAAGACTATCGGGTTGTTCACTTGGAAGTGAACTCGTTACTTGTATCAAAGATGTCAAACTGATATGATAAGATTGATAACTAAGTTGAGCACGAAGCTCCTATCTAATGGCAGACGTGCCAGTCTTATATAGAACCTTCGTTCTCGTGGAGCCTACGGGGAGCCCAAGATCCTCAAGCTCCAACGCAAGCTCCTGCAAGCTCCAACGATCATGTGACCCTGTCACGTGATACTAACTGAATGAAATCCCTGGATCGCTTAGCTAGCCCAAGCGTCCCTATTTGCTATAAGAGTACTGATAGTGCTTGACCTTTCAGGACGCCGCCTGGTCTTCTCTTATCACGTGAACACGTGATTCGTGACATCTAGGACCTAATAGTTAGTAGTTAGGATTTAACTAATTTATTATTTTAAGTAAAGAAATTAAAGCTCTTATAAGATTATTTATAAATATAAAGCTTTCTAATATACTTAGTTAAGTTTCTTCTTCTTTTCTTTAGTTTATACTCTTATTAATTTAACCTCTAGTATTAATTAATACTAGTAAACGCTTTAGAATGCTTAGTAAAGTTCTACGTTTAATATCTTTTCTTAGGTTATAATTACTAATAAGCTTGGTTTAATAGCTAGCTTAAACTTATTAAAATAAGAAAAACTTATAATTTAATTAAACTTAATATTATAAAAGAATAATATATATATATAAAGGGTTTAATATAATATTTAATAAGTTTAATAAAAGAGAGAGAAGGAATCTTCTCGGGCTCTACTATAAAGGAGAAAAGGGGTGTCACGAATCACGTGCTCACGTGATACTTGTCATAATAAGAGGCGCAACCCTCGACAGGCACACCCAGGGTTCTTATAGCAGAAAGGGATCCTTAGACCAGCTAAGCGATCCAGGGATTTTCATTGAATGGAAAGTTCACGTGACCTGTATCTTTTGGATCGTAATGATCCACGATCCAGGAGCGTAGATCTGCATGATCCAGTACGATCCACGAACATGAAAGGATCTATATAAGACTGGCACTTCTGCCTTTAGATAGGAGCTTCGTGCTCAACTTAGTTATCAATCTTATCATATCAGTTTGACATCTTTGATACAAGTAACGAGTTCACTTCCAAGTGAACAACCCGATAGTCTTCTTCTTATCATAGCATACCAACCAGCGAACACCCAGCCAAGTTTAGTTAGCCAGTTTGAGTACTCGTTACAAGGGGCCCTCTCAGTAAGGCTTAGTAAGTACTAGTATAGCTAGTATTCTACTCCAGAAGTTAACTTTTTAAAACTTTTAAATAAACTTTTTATTTATAAAATATTATTTTATAACTTAATTAATATAGTATTTCTAACGTAGATATTAAGTTATTAGATAGTTTTTATATTTATTTAACTTAGTAGTTTTTCCTTTATTTGTAATAACGTACTTCATAAGGAGTCCGGATTTATACGCAGTCCGGATTTTTTACCCCACCATCCAACTTTTAAAAACCATAGAACTTTAACCACTTAATATTTATTTATATAAACTATACTATCTTTCTTATTCTCGATCTGGGCACCTAGGATCAGTATGCGCTAGTGATCTACATATACTACAGGTTCGTGGTGCACGAATTCGTGGTTCAATTAGCGGGGCCACAGCTTCATCCAAAACCATATTATC